TCCCAACCCCTTAGTACTATGTGCTCAAGAGCCTCGAAAAGGCCGAACCCGGGTCAACATCGGACATCGTCGAGGCCCCCTCCATCTCCAAGCCCGCGTTCCCCTCGCCCCTCACGCCGCTGCGCATCATCGCGGGCCGCGGCGTGGCACTGCACGCGCTGAGCCTGCTGGGCGTGTTCAGCTTCCTCTTCTGCACCATCACGGGTGCGCCCGGCCCCCCTCTTGGGGCCTTGCGAGCCCAGGGTGCAGGGTTCAGGTTATGTTTCCGAATTCAAAAACAGGAGGGGGTGATCGTCACCATGCACCCCACCGCACCTCTTCCAAAGTCTGGCCAAACCTTTTCGGAGCAGGCGCGCACAAATAGCAAGCGTCGCCCCCTCCTGGCACCTTGTGCCGTCCCCGCCTCCCGGCACACTGCCGCCGCCCCTCGAGGCCCCCTATCCCCCAGGCCCACGCAGCCCCTGTCCCAACCGACAGATCGCGCCGGGCCCCCGCCCTCCTCCCCCGAACCCAAATCCAAACCTTATCCCCCAAACCCAAACCCAATCTTCTAAACCCTGAACCCTGGACTGAACGCCCCAACCTCCCGCGCGGCCCTTCCTCTGGACTCGCGCAGTCCTGCCCATCGCGCTCGCGCAGCCGCCCTTCAACCTATCCCAGGCCATCATCGGCGTCGCATACCTGCCAGGCGGCATAGGCAGCCTGCTCTTCAGCCCCCTGTCCGGCTGGCTCGCCGACGCGCTGGCGCGGCGCTACAACAGCACCGCCGTGCGCCTGCTGCCGGGCAACCTCGCGTCGCTCGTGCTCGTGCCCGCCGCGCTGGTCGGGTTCGGCTGGAGCCTGACGGCGGGGAGCCTGGCGGGGGCGCTGATATGCCAGTTCGTGCTAGGCGTAGGCTGCAGCTTTGCGATGCCCGGTGAGCTGCTCGACGGTTTTGGGTGCCCGAAATTCGAAGCATTTCGAAACATTTTGGGTGCCCCTGCCTCGTCCACTCAGCGCCGAGGCGGGGCCGCACCGCGCCGAGCAGCTGCGCCGCGTGCGCGAACTTACGCGCGCGCGCGTGTACTTGTGTCCGTGTTCGTGTGTATTTGGGGCGGAGGTCGCGAACGGCGGGGGAAGGTCGGGGGCGGCGGCGCGCTTGATGTGCGGACCCTCGGCCGCGTCCGCCGCGCGGCCGGCCCCGCCACACACTTCGACCCGCGAGTCTGACAAAAAGTCCTGTCTGCGCCCGCGCCCGCAGGCCTGTTCAGCTGGCTGACGATCGTGAAGCAGGGCGCGGCCGGGGCGGCCATGGCCGGGGTGAACTGCGTACTCAACCTCGGGGCCGGGTCCTTTGTCCAGGCGGGCGCGCCCGGAACGGCGGCGCTCGGGTGGGTGGCGGGGCTCGTGCCGGGGTCTCACAGTGGGGGGAGTTGCGTGGGGTGGAGCCCGGGCGCAGAGAGGGCGGCCGGAAGGGGGAGGGGCGCCAGCAGGAGGGCCCGGGACGACGCCTGATTTCCTAAATTCGGGCGGCAGCCGCCGGCCGTCATCACTCACGGATGGGGATCAGGCTTCTTAACCTGCCCCACCAGCAACGAACGATAACTGACATTCGTCGTCACCCGGTCACGCTTGTGTTCTCACATTCTGTCGCCCCGCCGCACCCCTTCCTTACACCTTCTCACCGCGCCCCGCAGGTACGGCCCATTCTTCAGCCTGCTTGCCGGCATCCAGATCGCCCTCGCGGGCGCGGCCGGCGCCATGCTTGTGTACCAGCTGCGTGCCGAGCGCGCAGCCCGCGCGGCGGAGGGGGCGGAGGGCAACGGCGGCGGCGGGGACGCCAAGAGTTCAGAGGCGGCGGCGGCGGCAGACAAGCCGGCGGCGGCGGCAGGGGCGGGCGGCGGCCGGGAGGCGGGGGCGGCCGATGTGCATGAGCAAAGAGACGCGTGAGGTGGCGGTCTTTGATAAGATGGGGTCGGCGGACTGCCGGACGTGCACGCGCCCCTGGCCATTGCCGGGCGCGGATGATCTCACCTTGGATTCTTCATTCAAATGCAGCGGCGGCGCGCGGCCGCCAGCAGGGACGCGAGCTGCATGTGTTGCCATTGCGGCCTGGCGGCTTGGCCTGACGGTTGAGGCACCGTCCGAGCTGGGAGGCTGCATCAAAAACCATGCTCCCTCTATGTCTTTTACTCGATCACTCCCATTTCAAACCCGCATGCACTGTCCATTCAGCCTCCCTTCCAGTATTGCCTTTCTCTTTGCATGTAGATTTTAGCGCTTTTATAAGTGCGCCAAGCCTCCGTGCATGTGCACTTCAGGCGGCGTTCGTGGTAACATGGTGTGTCCTGTGAATGGCAGTTGATGGTTTGCGGCTGAGCACTGGCCTTGGCTATGCGTCATCACTCGAGCCCGGGCTAGGTCAGTGATGTGCGCCCTCTCATGTCCGGATGGGAGTCACAGGGTGGGATGAGGTGTACACACGCCGTGGAGCGCAGGCCAGCATGAGAGAGGGGGCAGTGCGGAGATTTTTCAGCTCAGGTTCTCGCTTGCTCTTTGCTGGCGGTGCTGTTTTGGCGCGGCACGGCTGCGGTCTGTCGCGGATGGGATTCGATGACGCCACAGCATTTGATGTCGATTTCTCGCAAGGCATGCAGCTCGATCGCACAGCTTTCCTGCGTGCGCTCCAACACATGTGTCAGCGGCGGCACCGGGTGTCCGGCACACCTCACTTGCAAGGGCTGGCAAGGGCATGAGCAAGGGCGTTGTGAGATTGTGTGGCATGCTCAAATATCACAGCTTTGAGAGGATCACTTGCTACCGCCATCACAAATCAGCCTGTCTTCTGTTGCACTGTATCATTCGAAAGGACTTGTTGTGATCTGAAAGCAAATCACCAGTGTCGAAGCAAGTTCGTCATGCAAAATCGAAGCAGAGCTTTCACTGCGATCCGGCGCGTACATATTTGGCGCGACACGCAAGCCCTGCTGATTGCTACGCTAGCCGCTCTCCAGCCCGAATGGGACACTGCCTGAAACACTGTCTGCATTATATGGGCAGTGGGCATTGGATCTGCGCCTTGTGGCATGATGGCGAGCGTCACGGCAGACGGGCGCCCCCACTGCCATGCCTCGCACACTTCGTAATGGGATATGCCACCCTTACACATCACTTGACGCAGGGCCGCGGCCCGGATGCGGGTCCTGCTGCGGCACGCACAAGAAGACAGAGCGTCAGCCCTCAACAGCGGGGGCGCCTCCGCAACCGGTGAGGCGGCCGGCCCCGCCCGACCACCCCTGGCCAGCACCGTCGGGTGCCGCCGCCGGCCGGCCGCGCATTTTGCCCTCCGCCCCGTCAGAACCAACAAACCTCAACACCTCATCGCCCTTGGCCCCGTCCCCCCACCCATGCCCGATGACATCACCACCCCCCTTTCCCACACTCCCCAGAAGGAGACATCGAACAGCCCCTGCTGACAGAGCCCTCCCTTCAGCCCCTCGCCCGCGGCCGCTCGCCCAGCGTCCATTCCCTGCCCTCCCGCTCCCCGCCGCCGCCGCCGTCGCCCAACGGCGGCGGCAGCGCCGCCCTCGACCCGCCGCCGGGGGCGCCCTCCTTCAGCTTCGGCGGCCGCGAGTGGGACGGCCCCATCTCCCCGCCATCCGGCGGCGGCGGCCTGTCGGTGATGCACGGGTCGTACAACGCGGCGCGGCGGGACCGAGTCGACCGCGCCGCCGCACGCCACGGCGGCGCTGGGCCGGGGCCCGGGCCCGGCGCCAAGGGGCCGCGCGCGCCGGTGACGGACCCGCTCGCCAGCCGGCCGGTCACGCCGCTTGCGCGGGAGGTGAAATGGTGCGCTGAAACTTGCGGGGAAGGGCTTGGACGCGCGGGGACACTGCGCCACCGGCCGGCTCCGCATCAGCCGGCTGCGCTGCCGAGCGGGCCTTGGTCAACGTGCCGTGCAGGTTGCTCTCAAGCGGTCCTTTTGCCCATCCCCTCGCACGCATGGACACCCTTGCTTGTGCCCGCCCGCCATACCCAACACCTCCCCCACACCCACACACACCAACACATTCTCTCTCTCTCTCTCTTACTCTCTCTCTCTCACACACACACACACACACACACACACACACAAACGCAAATACACACACACACACACACACACTCAAACGCAAATACGGTACACACACACACACCCCTTGACAGGTACGTCCGAGACGCTGTCGCCCTGCGCGACATGATCACGGGCAGCTACTTCAACTTCCTGCTGGTGTGCGTGCCCCTGGGCTTCGCGGCCTGGGCCGGGAGCTGGGGCGCGGTCCCCGTGTTTGTGCTCAACTTTCTGGCGCTGGTGCCGCTGGCGCTACTGCTGGGTGACGTCACCGAGGACCTGGCGGTGGGCGGTTGTGTGCGTGTGTGTGTGTGTGTATGTGTATGTGTGCGCGTGCGGATGTGTGCGTGCCGGGGTGTGTGTGTGCGCGCGTGCATTTGTGTGTGTTTGAGAGAGTGAGAGGGCATGTCTGTGTGTGTGTGTGTGTGTGTGTGTTCATGTGAATGCATGCCTGCAGCATAACATCAAGGAGGAGCCACGCGACCCATCCAGCCAGGGCTCGCTCCTACTGACAGTGCCTGCCGACTACTGCTGCTGGCTGGATCTTTATCTCGCTGCACATTCCCTTGGCGCACGTCCCACCCACCCCCTCCCCCAACTCGTGTACACACCCGTGCATTCACACACACACACCCACACACACACACACACACACACACACACACACACACACATGCGCGCGCGCACACAAACATGGTCTCCCGCGCCCCCAGCTGCGTTTTGGGGACATTGTTGGCGGGCTGCTCAACGCCACGTTTGGCAATGTGGTGGAGATGATCCTCTCCATTGCGGCACTCATGAAGGTGAGTCGCTGCGTGTTTGTTTCTGTTGTTTTGTCTCACGGCCTGAGTCTGTGCATGTGTGTGTGCATATATGTGTGAGTACAGGAGAGAGAGGTGAAGGTCAGAGGGAGGTCGAGAGGGCCAGGGACGAGAGGGGGGGTGCACGATTGCTGGCTTTCGGGCCAGACTGGTAACTGAACTCGTGCGACGTACCGCGTGTGAGAGCGGGCGGGCCCAGTGCGCGGTCCTTTTCACCCCATCCGCCCCAACGCACCCCTGTGTTTTGCGGTCATGCGGTCACACAGCCCAGCCATGACGGGCCCCGCCCCCGGCTTCTGCTGAGCCCCTCCCCCCTACGCCCTCGACCTTCCCCCCGGCCAGGGCCTGTACACGGTGGTGGCTATGTCTCTGCTGGGCTCCATCCTGTCAAATCTGCTGCTGGTCCTCGGC